CGACCCGTTCGTGCAACAACGTGGATCTACCATGTATAAAACTTAAAACTTTTTACATTACAATGTTTTTAGATTTTGTAAATGACTTTTGAATTTTGAATTAATTAGGAAAAAAATAAGTTTCACTAATAATTGCATATAACGAAACGCAAATATGTCAATTTGTTTTTTATTAACACAGATACACCCATAAAAAAGTTAATCACTCGGACCCAGACAATTCATTTGTGGCTGAAGGCGGGACTTATATACGAGTATCACAAATTGAGTCGCAATGGAGAGCACTCAAGACGTGTTTCAGAAAGAAAATTATGAAAATTCACGTTACATTGTTTCATTCACCACTATTATAGCAGAGTTTAGGACAAGCTGACTATATAGATAAGATTGGTTTAATCTGTTCTAAAACCAAAACAGCACGCCCTGACTCCACGTAGACGCGGAAGGAGAGCAGCCCCCGCCCGCCGTACCAAATTGAAAGAGCGCCTGCAATTTGCTACGCAAGGGCGAAGGGGCTGCACTTCCCACAGCGCCGAAGCTGTTGTTGAAGTCAATACTCCTGCGTAAAAGCGAGGTTACGATTTTACAAAAAAAACTCATTACTCATAAACTACACATTTCCGCAAGGGGGAAGGGGGGCTTGACCTGACCCCCTCCCTCCCCGGACCCCCTCCCATCCCCGAACGTAAGTACCAGATGTATATAGTTTTACCGTAGACTTTTAATAGACTGTTATGATGATGATGATTGTAATAATAATAATAATCATTCTTTGTATTACAACCAGTTCCGTCGTAACCGGAAGGGTACATCGGGCACAAGCCCAGTGCTCCCTGGCCTGACAGAGGCCCCAAAATGCCTAAGCGCGCGTTAATATATTTTAATATAATTAAAACGCATATGTTTTTTTTTGTTTTATTGTATAAAAGTAATAAGCAAATCTTTTGTTATCAAATACAATAATAATAATAAATATTTTTTATATCATTTCCAATTTAACACATGTTTACTTAGAGGAACAAATATGATTACAATTAAATAACGTAACAATAAGTCTAATAAAAATAACATGCAATAATAAAAAATAAAACTACGTGTAGCTTAATAATGTAGAATATACGAAAGAAAATTTTAAAAGTCAAGTTTATAATATTAGCTACCTGCCTGAACTAGGTTGAGACCTGTGTTTCAGACAAATATAAAGAAAGATAAAGTAATAATTTTTTAATCTATGTTTGTTTTTTACTTTTAAATGCCATGTTGCCAAGACGGTCCTGACTACAGCGGAACACTTAAAAAACATAAACAACATTATCATACCACAATACGGCTTAAAAAATAAACAAAGGAAAATGTAACAGTTTGCGTTCAGAGTTTGTTTACTATTTTTTTTTTCGATTATCCAACAAAAACATACCTTTGGTTGAATCCTTTGAAAACTTGTGCTCACTCACGACTTTACACTAAATAAAGCAAGTTATTTTCATAAACAATAATTTAACATGATTTGAAAATTTCACTATTAAAAATCAATTTTTATCGCATAATTTCTTCACAGCTGCTTAAAATTTCAAATCAATCCGCCAATTCACTATAGATGCCAAGACTACTCACTTAATGTTTATATCAAAACAAACTGCATATCCTCATATCGTACTTGGCAACGTTCAATACATTTATCATATCACAAATAAGCTCAGGTCCAGATTGTGCAGAATGTGAAAATAAATAAGGTCCATTTCACACGCGAGAAGTATTAATAAAGCTCCGAACCAGAATTCAAGGTTGGAAAATTGAGAAGCAGCTCGATACACAACTGTTCGCTGTGATAGCGGCGTCCATACTGAGTTCAACATTTTCACGTCACAGTCACAGTTGGCACGAAATTATGTGCCAAGTTATTTATTACTTTTCGATTATTTCTTATAAGCGATCACTTGCGAGTCAATCTATCGTCAAACTGATGTATCATAAAACAACAATAATAATTAAAATTTCCTTGACCCCTATAAAAAAAACTTGTTCCCGCGAGGCACGTCGGAATAACCTTGCGGGAGGAACGGAATTTAATATGTTGTATTTTTTTTAAAACATGATTAAAACTGGATAGTAGAAGTTTACAGCTAAATGTACAAAAAAGAAACAGTCCCATCCCAATAACAATGTATATCATTTTTTACATTTATCCAAGTATCCATTGCTTAGATAAAATACAAATAACGTATTGGTATTTTCTTATCTTTTAATATGCATATTAAGTTACACAACTTTTTATGTAACTCAATCCGGAACCTGTTCGGTTATTACGGACGTTCAATATATACTACGTAGTATTATTATTTATTGTGTCTATGTGAAAATGTCCTTAAGATAGAAAAAAATAAGTTGTAAACATTTACCACAACTATGTTGTATTTTTGTTATACTATTTATTAGTATTTTATTCCTACCACTTTTAAAGCTCTATTTCAATTAAAAGTCAAAGTATATGTAATGTAACACAAACCCTATCATTCCCGTTAAGTGCGTTATCAGATTCAGTATTCAAACTTATAGAAATAACTTTTCTTCAGAAAACTCAAACATAAAAAAATTAAGTTTAATTTTTTTATTTGCATTTCTTTGTAATTTTATTACCTCCTATGAACACGTACATGGGTTAAGCAGGGACAATATAACTTCCCGGCCAATGAAGAGGTAGTAAAACTATATACATTTTCCAAACAAAAGATATTCAAATTTTTACTATTTTTTATAGTCGAGTTTTCTGAAAACAGGTTCTTTCTATACGTTTAAATACTCATTCTGAAAACGCCCACAATGGGAACCCCACATGGTTTTTGTTAAATATTGTTCAATAATTGTAAAGACACGATTAAATTCTTATATAATCAATAATATAAAACGGTTGAACGGTTGCACGGTGTAGTTGTGCAAGTGATGTATCAAACACTTTTTATTTTTATTCTGCACCATTAGTAAACTAATTCTTCTATGCCTAATAATTTTGAAACACTCACAAACTTATCAACGAACAGAAAAAATCGCGCGAACTTTGTAAAAAATAAAAAGACTGACTTTTTTCTTTTTACAGTGACACATGCATGTATAAACACATCATTGAAACTGACCGATATGCGAACACGTTCCAATTTTAAAATTACGCCAAGGTTCCCAAGGTAAGGCGCTATGCATATTCGATAATCGTTACGACCGCTTTGTATATTTTTTTTATATAATGAATATTCAATTTAATCCATTGTATGTTTTACCCAACGTTTGAAGCAGAATATCCGCATTTATAAATTATCACCTTCGTATACTTTTTTATAGAATAAGAATGATAAACAAGCACACAGTCCACCTGATGATAATTGGTTGCTATAGCCTATAGACATCTACATCTAAAAAAAAATACACATGCGTTGTCACCCATGAGGACTACGATTAAATGCCTCATTTCCAGTAAAAAGGATCTCCGGTTCTCTACACTCACCATACGAAATACAGCAGCGTCAAGCTGCTATTTTACGCTGGTACTCTGTGAGAGCGTGGTTTTACTCCGGTCGAGCCGACGCATTCCTGTTACAATCATAATATACGAGTAGCTGCAGCGTAGCTCTATCACGTATAAAATCTCAGATTTATTTAAATAAACGAATATAACTGCGTAACAACTTTATGTTACATCATAAATAATGGAACATAAGTATGTTAATACAGTTAGCAGTTAGAAGTATACGATGAAGTATGCAAAACAACAGCAATACTGCTGCCTATTACGATAAAGGACAGTATAGTGACCAAAACACAGACGGATATACCTGAGAGTCATATATATAATAATAATAATAATAATAAAAAGGCGTAGGGAAGTGACGACCCCATCGCCCGCTGACGTAACAGTTATGTGACAAAACTGCGACGTTGGCGCAGTCAGTCAGCATCCTGCCAAGAGAAGCGCCGTGCCTAGGCAAAATTGTAGATGCAAAGGTCCGTTTGTGCATATGACCCAACCACGAAACGGTGCCGGGCTTGGGCGTCTCCCGTTATTTGGCGCCCATAAAATGGATGATGGAAAAAACACAAAAAGGAACGCGCATAGGGCCGCTGCCTGGGGGTCGCCGGGGCGCGTCTGGAGCTGGCGCTGGACGCGGCAGCATGCGGGCCGCCAGCCGAGTGCGAGGAGCTGCACGATCACCTAGCAGCCCCTCGCATCCATCATCCCCACCAGAAGGCTTGGTGTCGGCTGGGTCTTCTCGGACCCAGCAAGCGGCACCCGCCGCTGGTGGAGCACGTCGCATGCGTTGGACAAAATCCATGAACGAAAACGCATTGCGGGCGTACTATAGGGCGAAAGGGGATGAAACTGTGGGAATAGCGTATAGGTCTCGGATGCATTGCTTTTTTGCTGAGCTGGAGCCGTCTATCCCCGTCACGAAACAAAACCTGGCAGACCGAGTTCGGTACATCATGCGCTCGAAAATATTTGATGAATCGGCTATGGCTGGAGATGCAGCTCCACATTCGACAGACCAGCATCCACACGTGGAAGCCGCCATGGATCTTCCAGTTGTGGTTGATTCGAACGACGATGAAATAGTCTCCCACGAACTAGAGCAAATGAGGAGTATATTGGAAGAGGCGATTTTGGAAACGCGCAGCACCCCTCTCGAAAATCGACCGCGACTTCCCCGCATACCCTTAAGCAAGCGAAATCGGGCTGTCGTGAGGGCTCTTAACCCAATGCTGGTGACCTATTTGGAAGCCAGCCGGGACCTTTGCGAGACGGACTCGATTCTCTTTGGCGCCGCAGTGGCAGTTTGCCGTATTATTGGCGCCAAACTTCCCACGGCTGGACGCGCTACTACACAAACTAACACATCCCAGCCTGGAGGAAAAGAATCGAGGACCGTATCGCAAAGGCAAGGGCCCTTATCGGCAGACTGACAAGCTTCAGGTCGGGTAATAATAGACCGAGGATTATGCGCACCGTTAGGATGGCGTTTGCTGGGAAAAATATCAGTTTGTCCCAGCCGGATATCACGCAGAAACTAACGGAGCGCATAGACGACCTGAAGCAAAAGATCGCTGCTTGGGGGAAGCGGATTCGACGATTTTCCGAGGGGTCAAGGCGGTTCAACCAGAATCGTCTTTTCCAGAGTGATCAGAAGAGGCTCTATAAATTATTGGAGCGACCAAAGGTATGTGGAGCGGGCCAAGGACCGGATCAGGCTGACATTATCGCATTCTGGCGTGGCCTGTGGTCAGAGCCCGTAAACCACCTTGAGGGCCCTTGGATGGAAGTTGTGGCGAGCCAGGGTGCGAGTGTTACGCCTATGGACCCATTCACCATAACGCCAGAAGACGTGGCTGAGGTGGTCCGTAGGGCCCCGAACTGGAAAAGTCCGGGGCTCGACGGGCTGCATCATTACTGGCTGAAGGGGTTTGTAGTGTGTCACGCTGTGCTCGCCCGACAGTTTCAAGAGGCTCTCAACCAGAAGTCACTCCCGAGCCTCTTCACTACTGGGATCACTCACTTGGTTCCTAAAGATCAGGATACCACAGACCCGAGCAAATACCGCCCCATCACGTGTCTACCCACCATATATAAGACACTGACATCCATTTTGAGCGCGAGAATCACTCGTCACCTGGAGCTAAACCAGGTGATGTCACGCGCTCAAAATGGATGTCGGGGCGGTGGTCGTGGAACTAAGGTACCACTCCTCATTGACGCGGTCATAGGCAAAGTGGTGAAACGCAACCGTCGGAACTTCTCTGCCGCCTGGATAGACTACAGAAAGGCGTTCGACTACCGAGTCGAACCGGCACCGGCCCCATACATGGCTAAAGAGGGTCCTCGAGCTGTACAAGATTGACTGTACAGTTAGAGACTTCCTCGAGCAGTGTATGGGGCAGTGGAGTACGATCCTTTGTCATCTGGGTGAGCGGATGACGGCTGCGGAGAACCACATAAGGATAAGAAGGGGTATCTTCCAGGGCGATTGTCTGAGTCCAATCTGGTTCTGCCTCTCTCTTAACCCTCTCAGTACCTTACTGGAGGGCTCCGGGAGAGGATTTCAGCTACGGAAAGGAGGGACAAAAGTGACCCACCTTTTCTATATGGATGACCTCAAGTTATTCGCCTCCAGTCGCTCCCATCTTATGGAACTGCTAAACATCACTTGTGAATTTAGCAGTTCCATTGGAATGGAGCTGGGGACGGATAAGTGTGCGGTCCTCCATGTTGAAAGGGGAAGGGTTGCTAACTCTGAGGGCACAGACTTGTCTATGCCCGTCAACTTAAAGACCCTTTCCAAGGCTGAAACATACCGATACCTGGGTATGTCACAGAACATCGGTATCGATGAGGCTGGTATGAAACAGTCAGTTTGCGACGTGTTTTATGCACGCTTGACCAAAGTGCTTAACAGCCTTTTGTCTGGTGTGAATAAGACACACGCATATAACGGCTGGGTCATGCTTGTCCTCATGTATACCTTTGGCATACTCAGGTGGACTCAGACTGAGCTTAACGCCCTGGATAGAAAAGTCCGCACTAACATGACGTCCCATAGGATGCATCATCCGAGATCGTCGGTAATGAGGCTGTACTTGCCGCGAAAGTATGGTGGGCGTGGCTTTCTGAGCGCGCTCACCATGCATAATCGCGAAGTGTGCAGTCTCCGTCAGTACTTCTTGGCGAGATCGAATGATCCATTCTATAATGACGTCATTTCTAGTGATAAAGGGCTTACCCCTCTATCCTTAGCCCACGAGCAATGGCAGGACCCAGCAGTGCTTAGCAATTCCGACCGGGAGACCGTATGGAAGGAGAAGGAGCTCCACGGGAGGTACTACAAGGCTCTACATGAGCCCTTCGTAGATACAGTCGCCTCCCTCAACTGGCTACGTTTCGGTGACCTCTTCGGGGAAACCGAGGGTTTTGTCTGTGCAATACAGGATCAGGTTATTAAGACCAACAACTATCGGAGATACATCCTAAAGGATGGCACCGTCGACGTCTGTCGAGCTTGTCGCCATCCCGGGGAGTCACTTAGGCATGTCATCTCCGGTTGTCCGGCGCTTTCTAACTCTGAGTACTTGCACAGACACAACTTAGTGGCCAGAATTCTACACCAGGAGCTCGCTCTGAAATACGGTCTCGTGGACCGGAAATTGCCGTATTACAAGTACTTGCCGGAAGCCGTGCTCGAAAATGACCGCGCCAGGCTCTATTGGGACCGGGCCATCATCACAGACAGGACTATTCTTGCGAATAAGCCTGATATTGTGCTGATGGACCGGGCACAGTCAATGATATTTTTGGTCGATATTACCATCCCGTATGACGAGAACCTCGTGAGAGCCGAAACAGATAAGTAATCAAAATATCTGGACCTGGCTCACGAGGTGACCGACATGTGGGGTGGTCTGCCGGCCGAAATTATTCCTGTAGTCGTCTCTGCGAATGGGCTAATCCCAATTAGCCTCTCTGGTCATCTGAGGCGACTGGGACTCCGTGACGGACCGCTCCGGGCTCAAATGCAGAAGGCGGTGCTCCTTGATACTGCCCGCATCGTCCGCCGGTTTCTTTCCCTTTCTCCCTAACCCTTGGCCGTTTGGTCTCCCCTGCCGAGGGCTTCCATCTGGTTGGGCTTTTATTTATTTATGTATTTTTGTATTTATTTTATTTTATTGATATTTATATATATTTATCCTTTCATTTTCGTTTATAATTATATATTTATACATCCCAACCAGATGAGAAAACTATATAGATACCCCACACATAATAATAAAAAGGCGTAGGGAAGTGACGACCCCATCGCCCGCTGACGTAACAGTTATGTGACAAAACTAGTACGTCAGCGCAGTCAGTCAGCGCCCTGCCAAGAGGTGAGAGCGCCGTGCCTAGGCAAAATTGTGGGTGCAAAGGTCCGTTTGTGCATATGACCGAACCACGAAACGGTGCCGGGCTTGGGCGTCTCCCGTTATTTGGCGCCCGTAAATGGATGATGGTACAAAGAGGAACGCGCATAGGGCCGCTGCCTGGGGGTCGCCGGGGCGCGTCTGGAGCTGGCGCTGGATGCGGCAGCATGCGGGCCGCCAGCCGAGCGCGAGGAGCTGTACGATCACCTAGCAGCCCTCCGCATCCATCATCCCCACCAGAAGGCTTGGTGTCGCACCCGCCGCTGGTGGAGCACGTCGCATGCGTTGGTCACAAACAATGAACGCAAACGCACTGCGGGCGTACTTTAGGGCAAAAGGGGAAGAAACCGGATGTTTGGCATATCGGGCTCGGATGCATCGCTTTTTTTGCACAGCTGGAGCCATTTCTATCCGTCACTGAGCAAAACCTGGCAGACCGAGTTCGGTACATCCTGCGCTCCAACATATTTGGTGACGCCGAACTCGAACGACTACGACGTGAGGCTGTTCCCTCATCGGATGGAAATGCTACGGCTGGGAATGCGGCGCCACTAATTGCGCAGCAAACTGCTAATGTGGACGCTGCCGTCAATATTCCATTTGTGGCTGATTCAGACGATGATGGAATAGTCCCCCACGAACTAGAGAAAATGAGGAGCATATTGGAAGAGTCGATGCTGGAAACGCGCAGCATGCCTCTCGAAAATCGACCGCGACTTCCCCGCATACCCCTTAGCAAGCGAAATCGGGCTGTCGTGCGGGCTCTTAACCCAATGCTGGTGACCTATTTGGAAGCCAGCCGGGACCTTTGCGAGACGGACTCAATTCTTTTTGGCGCCGCACTGGCAGTATGCCGTATTATTGGCGCCAAACTTCCCATGGCTGGACGTGCTACTCAACAAGGTAGTGCCATCCCAGCCTGGAGAAAAAGAATCGAGGACCGTATCGCAAAGGCAAGGGCCCTTATCGGCAGACTGACAAGCTTCAGGTCGGGTAATATTAGACCGAGAGTTGTGCGCACCGTTAGAATGGCGTTTGCTGGGACAAATATTAGTTTGTCCCAGCCGGATATCACGCAGAAACTAACGGAGCGCATAGATGACCTGAAGCTAAAAATCGCTGCTTGGGGGAAGCGGATTCGACGATTTAGCGAGAGGTCAAGGCGGTTCAACCAAAATCGTCTCTTCCAGAGTGATCAGAAGAGGCTATATAAATCATTGGAGCGACCAGAGGTATGTGGAGCGGGCCCAGGACCGGATCAGGCTGACACTGTCGCATTTTGGCGTGGCCTGTGGTCAGAGCCCGTAAACCACAGCGAGGGCCCTTGGATGGAAGTTGTGGCGAGCCAGAGTGCAAGTGTTACGCCTATGGACCCCGTCACCATAACGCCTGAAGACGTGGCTGAGGCGGTCCGTAGGGCCCCGAACTGGAAAATTCCGGGGCTCGACGGGCTGCATCATTACTGGCTGAAGGGGTTCGTAGTGTGTCACGCTGTGCTCTCCCGACAGTATCAAGAGGCTCTCGATCAGAAGTCGCTCCCGAGCCTCTTCACTACTGGGATCACTCACTTGGTTCCTAAAGATCAGGATACCACAGACCCGAGCAAATACCGCCCATCACGTGTCTACCCACTTATATATATATATATATATATATATATATATATATATATATATATAAGACTGTCTTATATATAATATATATAAGACACTGACATCCATTTTGAGCGCGAGAATCACTCGTCACCTGGAGCTAAATCAGGTGATGTCACGCGCTCAAAATGGATGTCGGGGCGGTGGTCGTGGAACCAAGGAACCACTCCTCATTGAAGCGGTCATTGGCAAAGTGGTGAAACGCAACCGTCGGAACTTCTCCGCCGCCTGGATAGACTACAGAAAAGCATTCGACTCGGTGCCCCATGCATGGCTAAAGAGGGTCCTCGAGCTGTACAAGATTGACTGTACAGTTAGAGACTTCCTCGAGCAGTGTATGGGGCAGTGGAGTACGATCCTCTGTTATCAGGGCGAGCGGATGATGGCTGCGGAGAACCACATAACGATAAGAAGGGGTATCTTCCAAGGCGATTGTCTGAGTCCAATCTGGTTCTGCCTCTCTCTGAACCCTCTCAGTACCTTACTGGAGGGCTCCGGGAGAGGATTTCAGCTACGGAAAGGAGGAACAAAAGTGACCCACCTTTTCTATATGGATGACCTCAAGTTATTCGCCTCCAGTCGCTCCCATCTTATGGAATTGCTAAACATCACTTGTGAATTTAGCAATTCCATTGGAATGGAGCTGGGGACGGATAAGTGTGCGGTCCTTCATGTTGAAAGGGGAAGGGTTGCTAACTCTGAGGGCATAAATTTATCTATGCCCGTCAACTTAAAGACCCTTTCCGAGGCTGAAACATACCGATACCTGGGTATGTCACAGAACATCGGTATCGATGAGGCTGGTATGAAACAGTCAGTTTGCGACGTGTTTTATGCACGCTTGACCAAAGTGCTTAACAGCCTTTTGTCCGGTGTGAAAAAGACAGACGCATATAACGGTTGGGTCATGCCTATCCTCATATATACCTTTGGCATACTCAGGTGGACTCAGACCGAACTTAACGCCCTGGATAGAAAAGTCCGCACTAACATGACGTCCCATAGGATGCATCATCCGGGATCGTCGGTAATGAGGCTGTACTTGACGCGAAAGCATGGTGGGCGTGGTTTTCTGAGCGCGCTCACCATGCATAATCGCGAAGTGTGCAGCATCCGTGATTACTTCCTGGTGAGATCGGATGATCCATTCTATAATGACGTCATTTCTAGTGATAAAGGGCTTACCCCTCAATCCTTAGCCCACGAGCAATGGCAGGACCCAGCAGTGCTTAGCATTTCTGACCGGGAGACCGTATGGAAGGAGAAGGAGCTCCACGGGAGGTACTACAGGGCTCTTCATGAGCCCTTCGTAGATACAGTCGCCTCCCTCAACTGGCTACGTTTCGGTGACCTCTTCGGGGGAAACTGAGGGTTTTGTCTGTGCAATACAGAATCAGGTTATTAAGACCAACAACTATCGGAGATACATCCTAAAGGATGGCACCGTCGACGTCTGTCGAGCTTGTCGCCATCCCGGTGAATCACTTAGGCATGTCATCTCCGGTTGTTCGGCGCTTTCTAACTCTGAGTACTTGCACAGGCACAACCTAGTAGCCAGAATTCTACACCAGGAGCTCGCTCTGAAACACGGTCTCGTGGACCGGAAATTGCCGTATTACAAGTACTTGCCGGAAGCCGTGCTCGAAAATGACCGCGCCAGGCTCTACTGGGACCGGGCCATCATCACAGACAGGACTATTCTTGCGAATAAGCCTGATATTGTGCTGATGGACCGGGCACAGTCAAGGATATTTTTGGTCGACATTAACATTCCGTATGACGAGAACCTCGTGAAAGCCGAAACAGACAAGCAAACAAAATATCTGGACCTGGCTCACGAGGTGACCGACATGTGGGGTGGTCTGCCGACCGAAATTATTCCTGTAGTCGTCTCTGCAAACGGGCTAATCCCAGTCAGCCTCTCGGGTCATCTGTGGCGACTGGGACTACGTGGCGGACCGCTCCGGGCTCAAATGCAGAAGGCGGTGCTCCTCGATACCGCCCGCATCGTCCGCCGGTTTCTTTCTCTTTCCCCCTAACCCTCGGCCGTTTGGTCTCCCCTGCCGAGGGCCTCCATCTGGTTGGGCTTTTATTTATTTAAGTATTTTTATATTTATTTTATGTTATTGATATTTATGTATATTTATCTTTTCATTCTCATTTATAATTATATATTTATAGAACCCAACCAGATGAGAAAACTATATAGATACCCCACAATAATAATAAATTTATTGCCTCTAAAACACACAGTTACATTCACGTTAAAATAAAAGAACATTATAATTATTTGAGACAAAAGGAAACGGCTCAGCTTTGTCTGTAACGAGATACAGAGCTGTTTTTCAGCCGCTCCCTGTAATAATGATATATAATAACAGATAGTGAGTTATTAAGTCAAAGGAAGTTGTAGGTTTCCATGGGCTGCAGTACCACTAGTTCCACAGTACACTTTTTACAAAAACAGTAATCATGAATGATGATGATAATGATGAAACATAAAAAATAATGAATAATGCAGCCAAATTTTTAGTTTTTATAACTTTGTTTTACTCGCTCACGTCCTCAAAATATTGCTTGTAAATATTCTTTGGATTTATGTTTGTCTAATGTCTTTAGAATTTTAAATATTCATCAAGATAGACGAACGGAACCAAGAAATGAAACAAACGTTAGTATTTGTAAACAAGGCAAATTTTCATCGGCCAATGCGAACAAACATTCACATGGAAAAACGAGCTATGTTGTAACCAATTCAATCATACTATTATGGAATGAAAGTCAAACTCAATAATCTTTATTCAATTAGGCTTGTTGCAAGTTCTTATAAACGTCAAAATCTACACCGGTTAGGAAAACAAGACCACGGGGAAAAAACGTCAAAAACTCTGATATTGTGTTGATTTTATGTAAAACTAAATGAAAATACAAAACGGTACTTGAGAAATTATTACTTTCTTAGGCAACACCACGGTATCAGAATTTGTAGAGTACTATAGACTAGACATTGTATAGTTTCAGTTTAAACTCGAAATCTTCTCTGAATACCGGCATTAAAGCTCAACAAAGTTAGGGGCTTATGTCCGACCGCAAGCTATTAATGGCCTGATTAAAATGATATTTTAAGTAATGTCTCATCTTTGATTATATACCTGTCGTCTCATGTTGGTCTGGTATTTATAAGCCCCATGTTTATGTGTGCGCTTTGCCATCCTCGGCTGCTTCATCACTAACATCATTGGTATATCATATTTCTGGTAGAGCCATGCTGTAGGGCGTAGCAGTATTATATTATATTATGTTATATATCATCACACATGTTATACTCCTATTTCGTGTAACTTCCGTAAAAGTATGTCAAATCGAACTCGATCATAGGCTTTGGTCATGTCCAGTAAAATACCGATCGCGTATTTCTTTTCATTAAATATAATATTTAATATTTCATTGACAAATATACGTAGAGATTTTATAATTTCTTGATTAGTAGAGGATTGTGAAAAGAATTAATTCTTTACGGGATGAAGGACAGGCTGAACGATTGCACCTGTTGTGCCAAAAGTAGTGTTATCATTACCAACCGACAAAAAGAAATTATTGAAACACTCAACTATTTGTACAGGGTCGGCAGTGATACTATTTTGGACATTCAGTTCAATGTTCTTTTTATTTTGTGGAAGCTTATTAGTTTGTTCCTTCACAACATTCCACATCGATTTTATTACGTTATCAAAATTCTTAAGTAAAATAATAGTAATATAATTCTTATGTAGTATTATTGTAGCGCGAATTGTTCGGCTAGCCTAAGACCCTTTTTACTAAAAACTAGGCCATCCATCTTAGTCCTCACGGATGACAACGCAACTGCATTTTGATTCGTAGTCAAGGATATATGTAAAAGTCTGTGGGCCACAGCAACCACTTACCATCAGGTGGAGTGTGTGCTCGTTTGTCACACCATCCTATAACAAAATTGGATCATCACGAATTAACAGATGGGAAAGTAGTCAATATCGACCCGTGGGTGTCGTAAAAGGCGTCAGAGGAAAACAAACCGAGATGTACAACTGCATCTTCCTAATAACAACTCAAAATAACGGTTGCCAATCCTTGCCAAATGTGGCAACTGTGGCAAATCCTTTCTATGAGGTAATCTTTGGGAGAGTACTATGTTCAGCAGTGGACTTTTATAGGCTTTAATGGTATATATGACAAAACCTGGTTTTTGATCAAAAACCTAGGCTTTTGATCAAGAACTGGAAGAAGAAAATAATACTAATTTATGATACTATTGCGTGCCATAATTAATTTCTGAGTTAGTGATTCAATCGGCAGTTTTATTGTCAAGAACCCCAAGCTCGTAACAATATCATAAACTTTGGAAAATCTAGATGTTTTTAATCAACAACATGTTATATTAATGATAAGATTAAAATAAGTTTGTCTTCTTCAGGTTTTTGGTCTAAAAGCCTAGGTTTTTAATCAAAAGCGTAGTTTTTTGACCAAAAACCTAATTTTAAAATAAACCTGCAACATATATATTTTAGGTGTCTCCAAAATATTTACCTCGATAATATTAAAGGACATCACACCGACAGTGATGTATCGGTTGACATTAATTAATTAACATAAATATAAAATTAACAACATCGCCACACCTCAGCTAATAAGCATATTTTAACTGACGTCAATTAAGGTTCATTGCTTTATATAATGGTGTCAAATTTTTATAACCTCAGTTTTGTGTAGTCACAGTTTTGAGGCAATTTTAAATCATACGTTATTAATATTTGACTTCCTAGTTGACTAAGGGTTTTAATCTTTAACTACACAAGCGGGGTCTAACTAGACCCCACGAGACATTTTTTGGTTATATTTTGCTAAACGAATAATTTTGAAGGCACATAATATGTGCTGTCATTTTTGAAGTAGTTATTAGTACTTTTTGTTATATAAATTTTACTAGATTTAATATTCCATTTTATTCACATATTGGCCGTGTTGTGGCCGTTAAGAATCCACTACCCCATTTATCTTCCCGTGGGTGTCGTAAAAGGCGACAAAACACTACGCGGTTGCCAACCCGCTCGCCAAGCGTGGCAACTATGGCAATATACCCCCCATGAACAATTACACAAATAGACGGTCCCCAGTCCCCGGAGGCCCCGCTATTCCTGGCTACGGTGGCGATGGTCGCCATGGTAACGGCGGAGCAGGGGGTGCTAAGAATCTCCGGTGGAGGTTCGGTTGCCGCCTACGATGACTCGACCTGGCAACATTTACATTTACGCACGCACCCTGAGGACTAACAAGAAGATTCTGGAGCTGGAAGAAGAGATAGACAAGTTGCGCTGGAATATTATAGGATTATCCGAGGACACGGTGATTCTCGAATCCGGCAACTTGATCTGTCACCGGGAGGGCGACCATCTGTCCCAAAGAGGTGTCGGATTTATCGTCCACAACTCTCTCCTCAACAATGTTGTAAAGATTGGGAGTGTGTCAACGAGGGTCGCGTACCTGATACTCGGAATCACCAAACGGTATTCGCTGAAGGTCATACAGGTTTACGCACCAACCGCGACACCCAGTGGAGGAAATGTATGAGGATATTTGCAGTGCAGTGGGTTTTGGAGGAAGCCATGCATTCCTCCAAAACCCACTGCACGGTGTTGATGGGAGACTTCAACGCAAAACTAGGCACAAGAGACCACGGTGAGCAACAGAACCGAAGGGGCCAGCAGCTGGGTGACTTTATGGAGAAAGAGGGACTCTTTATGATGAACTCTTTCTTCCAGGAGCGGCCCCACAGGAAGTGGAGCTGGTCGAGCCCCGACGGTTCGACAAAAAATGAGATTGAATTCATTATGACGACAAGACGCCAACTGTTCAGTGATGTCTCAGTGATAGCAAGGGTGAAAATTGGCAGCGATCACCGAATGGTTAGAGGCACACTGAACATAAACGTTAAGTTGGAGAGGTCTCGTCTAATGAAGTCAACGCTCCGTTACCCTCGTGCTCTAATCCAGAATCCCGAAACCTTTCAGCTCGAGTTACGTAACCGCTTTCAGTGCCTACAAGATTGCAATGCAGTGAACGATATGAATGACAAGCTCGTGGAAACTATCCATGCGGTCGGAGCTAAGTTCTGCAAGACCCGACGCAAAAGAACACAAAAACTCTCCGATCACACTCCTAATCTTATGGCTGTTAGACGGGAGATGAGGCTGCAATCGTCAACAGATTTGACAGCATACAGGCAACTGAACAGACAGATCCCCAAATGCATGCGGCGAGACTTACGCAACTTTAATACTGCTCGTATTAAAGAAGCGATCGAGCGGAACCAGGACTCCAAAGTCTTTGCCAGAGATATGTCTACCAGTAAGAGCCAACTGTCAAAGCAGAATACTGAGTGTGGCAGCATCGTTTCCGGGACACCTGAGATTTTGGGTGAGATTGAGAGGTTCTATGGGCAGCTGCCCTAGAACCTCTCAATCTCACCCACATCATCGTTGGAGCCACACGCAAGTGTGAGTAATGATCCAAGAGCAAGTCTTATCCGACACTATTCCGATGATATCCCGGACGTCAGTCTAAGCGAGATTAGAATGGCTCTCCAGCACCTAAAAAACGGCAGGTCCGCAGGCGAGGATGGAATTACAGCGGAGCTTCTGAAAGCCGGTGGAACACCGGTACTTGAAGTCCTTCAGAAGCTCTTCAATTCCGTCCACCATGGTGGCACTACTCCAGAGGCGTGGAGCAGTAGTGCGGTGGACTTGTTCTTTAAGAAAGGCGACAGCGCTCTCTTGAAGAACTACAGACCGATTTCCCTTCTGAGCCGCGTCTACGTGCTGTTTTCGAGAGTCATTACGAATCACGCAGAGGCACGAGTCACGTAGACTCGACGACTTCCAGCCTCCCAAACAAACCGGTTTCCGAAAAGGCTTCAGTACCATAGACCACATACATACCCTGCGGCAAATTGTACAGAATACCGAAGAGTACAATCTGCCGCTTTGCCTGGCGTATGTGGACATAGTTATCCACATTTATTCCCAATTACGAATCAAAATGCAGATGTGTTATCACCTGTGAGGACTAAGATGGAATGCCTCATTTCCATTAAAAAGGATCTCCGGTTCTCTACGCTTACAATACGAAACACAGCAGCATTAAGCTGCCATTTTACGCTGGTATTCTGTGAGAGTGTGCTAAAACTACTTATAGAACTGCAGCATGGCTCTACCACGTAGTTAAGTGACTACCGCCGCCCATGAACACCTAAACCGAAATGGAATGCCTCGCTTCCAATAAAAAGCGTCTCCGTTTCTCAAACCTCACCATACGAAACACAGCAGAATCAAGCTGCTATTTTACGCTGGTATTTTGTGAGAGCGGTCCTAGCCGGTCGCGCCGACCCATCCGTGGTACAACCATAATATAGCTGTAACCTAGTTCTACCACGTTAAATGATCCTTCCGCAGGAATAAGTGCATCTCTAAGGACTTAGATGGCGAGAATAGGTAAAGCACCTATGTGTAGCAGAAAAAGACAGTAGATAGTACCTATTAGACCCTCCTTAATCCACCCATCTACACACCCAACTACTAGTCGCCAATTTAGACTAAAAGTTTGCAAAGTAAACAAGATAGAAGGTATTGTTGCACGCTGTAATTAATATCACTAACGCCATCTAGTATAGTATTGACCGAGTCGGTATATAATTGGCGATTCAAGCGAATACTTCGAAGCGATATAACTGGAAACTAAGGTGATCATTGTGATTAATTAATAGTGTTTAATTGGAGTTGTAATTGGTTTTTTGGTTCGGTAGTTAAAGTGTCAATTTTGGTAATTCAATCGGCAGTTTTTATTGTCACGAAAACTAAGCTTGTAACAGTATGCTTGGTTCTTAAGCAACCCCCGAGAGGGGGGGGGTTGCGTTCCATATGGAGCTCCGTAACAACTCGTTGAGGCCTATTGCAACCACTGTGTAATTCTAATCGATAATCGAAGGGGCAGAGGATTTCCCCACGTAAAAAAACCGCCTTCCTCAACTCACGCATTAAGGTCTATTTGGTGAACATTGGAGCGATATTTTACCTAAGATGACTATCTCATCGGTCTAGTAGTAGTAAATGCGACTGCTAGTCATGATGTTCCAGGTTTGAATCCCGGTCGGCCCAGAAAATCATATATTGAGATTTTATGTCAAGATTTTCTCAGCTGCAGCATGGAGTCAGGAAGTTGGCGGTGTTTCACCCCTGTGCGTCGGAAATCATGTAAAGCCGTTGGTAATGCGTCTGATCACTCCCCGGTCGAGCGGGTCTGCTATTCGCGTATGAGCGTTAGGGAATAGAGAATAGATTATTTAAGATATAAACTTTACATTATTACATTTTATAACTTACCATTTAACAAAACAAAAAATACGAAAATAAAATATTTAGAGCAAGTACATAGTTTATGATTTTTTTTATCATAGTTACATAATGAAAAGCTGATAAACGTTTTGTTTATTTTAACATTATCCTTCTGTGTCAACCCTTCTAAAGAGGTTAAAAATTTTGAACGTTCCTTAGAAGCTTTGCCTCAGGCACAAGTAAAGAAGTGCAAGCTAGAAGTGTACAGGCGCGTGATGTTGCATAGAAAAAGTTAGCCACTTACCTCTACTACGGTGTTCGCTCTAAACAGATAACACTGCAGCAAGCCCTCCTTCTCATTGAGGAATATGTAAAACAACTCCTCAGGCCGTCCCGGCACCTGACTGGCCCTGTTAGGAGATAATATTTTAAAGCAGAAAAAGAAACACCTTTGAAGCAACTTGTTATTCGACAGATGAACTACGTTTCAACTAAATAGTCTACTCATCAGAGTCGCTCTCTTCCCAAAATTAAATATGGAGTAAAAATTCAACCCTGGGTGGCAAGAGAGGGGATGAAATTTTTAATGTACTACGAGTAACTATGACAACATTGAGATTATGGAATTCCTTATTAGAATAAAAAGAGTTAAAAAAAATCGGGGCTATTAATATAATTCCTCTATACAGCACCATCTTAGCACGGACTTTTGAATGTAAAATTATTTCACTGTTTTTAGTTCTTTGAATTTGCCTTTTATTTTTTATTGTAAGTTAATTGTTTTATTAGATAAATTTATCGTGACAAGATAATAAACAAATCTCGTAATATAACTGAGTTTGAAAAACAGATTTTGATTTATTTATCGGCATAACCAATCCACGGCTGGGACTGGAACTCTGGATTAAACTTTTTTTTTGATGATAATACTGTTGTAGGTAACCAAAGCTTGCAGTGCTTATTTATTTGACTCTATACGGATTTTGTTTTATAGAATAAGGACGACAAGCGAGCACATAGTCCACCTGATGGTAAGTGGATGCTGTGGCCCATAGACATCTACATTTATCGTTGATTAAGAATCAAAACGCAGACGCGTTGTCACCCCTGAGGACTAACATGGAATGCCTTGTTTCCAATAAAAAGGGACCCCGGCTCTCTACACTCACCAGACGAAGCAGCAGTATTAAGCTGCTATTTTGCGCTGGTATTCTGTGAGAGCGTCCTATCTCGGTCGAACTGACCCCTTCGTGCTATAACCATAATATAACTGTAGCGTGGGTACATAAACGCGTTATAATAATCACGTACTTTGTGCTCAATTTTAAGAAGTGATGACGCTAGTAACATAGCTTTTACCTAAATATCATTTAATGTCAAAGTATAAGGTGACTTTATTGTCCAACCCATTACTCCTTTCAAAAAGGCTGTGCCCGGAAGGAAGTTTATAGTGTTACCATAGAATACTATAATTACATACATAATAGAACGGGGGAGTAGCCACTGAAATGTCAATTCACACGTATAAATGTCAACACGAGATGTGTTTTGACGTTACAATCGCTTCCATATTTCGCATGCAAATTATTTAGATAATGCGAAATTGCACGCTATTTACAAATAAATATGTAATAGTGATAATACGACGTAATTTCTTGTATGTGTGCTCCCGGCGATGCCTATCCTCATACAAAATAAGGTTGACAGCCATTCTATTGTGTATTATAGTATTCTATGGGTGTTAATTATTTACACAGCAAGAATTACTAACCTGAGTATATCCACTAATCTGTGTATTATCACCGGTTCAAAGTTCCCATTGTATGCCTTAAGGCAACCGTCTTCCACCGCTATGCTTAACTGTGAACAAAATGTCACAAACTTTTGTTTAGTTTCAGTATATTCTATACAGTTTCTAAGTTAAATTACAAGTTTTGAAAAGATTTTGTGCAGGATAAGTAGAAATAGGTTAAAACGTTAACATAGAATATATTTTTTTATACAGAAAAAGCAAACGCACATGCGGCGCACCTCATCGTAAGTGACTGCCGCTGCCTGTGAACAACTGTAACACCAGGGCAATCTGACATGCATTACCGGCTTGTAGAAAAGAGTAAGCTCCTCTTAAGTCGTACAAGGAAGAAATCTCCTAGTAAAACACAAAGTGGTGGACCGCCAACATCTAGACGGTGTAGATGGTGTGATGAGTTTTGTCGCGATGTGTGTTCATGAAATTTGTCGGCTGTAATTAATCTGAACAATTGAGTACTCCTTGTAGTAAATGCAATAGAAAAATGCAATGCAGCAGCAGTGATTCGAGACGCTCTGCGCTGGATGTAGTCAAGTGGAAGGAGCTGGCACTGGGTGCCCTTGAACCCCTAAGGATTTCACCCCTGAGGGCTAAGATTGAATGCCCCATTTCTGGTAATAAGGGTCTCTGGTTCTCTATACACAAACTTACCATTGCGACAATAATATAGCTGGAAAGAAGCTATAGCTCGTTTAAAATTTGTAATCGCCTTTATAAAGGGTCTCCAGTTATCTTCACCTTTCATACGAAACAGCAGCAATATTCTGCTATTTCACGCTGGTATTATGTGCCAACGCTGTGCTTTCCCAGCCGAGTCTATCTAATCGTGCTGCATTTGTACGTGCCACGCTGCTGCTATATTGTGGTTGTAGCACAAATGGGTCGGCTCGACCGGGGAAGGACTACGCTCTCACAGAATAGTAGCGTAAAATAGCAACTTAATACTGCTGTGTCTCTTATGGTGAGTTTAGAGAGCCGGAGACTCTTTTTTACTGGAAACGATGCATTCTATCTTGGTCCTCAGGGGTGACAACCCATCTACGTTTTGATTCTTAATCGAGGATAAATGTAGATATCTGTGGGCCACAGCATGTACTTATCATCAGGTGGACTGTATATTCGTTAGTGTCGTAAAAAATATTGATAGAAATGAGGGTATTAATGTAAAAAAATACAAAGTGAGGGTAGAGAACTCATCGAGAATAGGCTGTGTTGCTGTCGGTTTGTGTTCTTAATCCATGTTCGCCTTATCATGTAGTTACGTTCATCACGTTACAATAATGTGTGATTATGACCGGGACTGGTCATAATGGGAGTCATGGACGGGTTATATTACGATATGGCCAAATTGTAACTGATTGTCTGTGTTACGCTGTAACTGTGTTACGCTGTTTTATAGCTGATAATGATTAATTGCGTAAACAATTAAGCAAGTTGAATGACTGTTCTAACAATATTATTATTTAAAATATGACCTCCTAATATACTTCTAACAATATAATAAACATAATATTATGGCATCTACTCGTACGAACATAATATGTACTCGTATAATATGCCAGGTCCAGCTGGTACTGTGTTAGCAAAACGCGCCAACTTATACATTATCACTCAAGTTTTGGCTGCGCTGAGGTCCATTCTGAGCCCAGACTCTCCGTAGTCATTTCGTTCAACCACTAGACTACGCGGTTATCTTATAATACCTTATCTCTGATACCAGTAGCTCGTATCTCTCGCAGGAGCCACGGCAGCATAGAGTTGGAAAACCGCCTGTCCATGGCCGTGTAACCGAGGTAGGTTACTGAGGTCAGCTTTGTCTTCATTGTCGCAACCTGAAACAAATTTTGAGTTCATTTCATTTTTAATTCAAGTCATCATCATCTTTACAGTTTACAGTCTTCAACAAATTTCATGCTGAATATTCGCCACTCCCAAGAAATACCACAAGCGACGGCCTTGAGCTATTTGCAACCATCAACTTTCTGCAAGTTTTACCAGGTGGTCACTCCATCTATTGGAGGGCCGTCCTTACCGGTCCGAGGCTGCCACTCGCAAAATTTTCTATATTATTTTATAATATCTGTAACAAAACTATGACACACAGTAGAAAATTGTAGGCCCCAATTTGATTAAAGTTTAGGTACGTATTTCCCTCTGTATGTAAGGATAAACGGTAAGTGAGTAAAATGAACTATTTATCTATTATACTTTACTATAATAAAACTCTAACACGACGTCTGTCTAAATACTCATCACGCAAATATCTCTGAACCGATTTGGAAGGGACTTTCACAGGCAGATAACTGATATTACAAGGAGTAACTTGGCTACTTTTATTTTAGGGTCCCGCGCAAAATAAATCCCACGCGGGTGAAGTCGAGGGGAACAGCTAGTAAATGTAATAAAGAATTTCAATGTCAAAAACAGTAACTCCCACTCACTTCTATGCTAGTTTTGAAGCTGGGAAGAGTCCTCCGCTGCCCCCAATACGTTTTGGCCTGTTTTAGAAATCCTCGAAATATTTTTTAATTATAATAAACGTATTTAGGAATTTTCCTCCGCCATCATTCATTTAAATTTAATATATGCTTAAATATTTCCCTATTGAGTTCACGTGTCAAAACTTTGGGCGTATTAGTCATATATCTTTTGTATAATTAAATTTGCATGACTAATGTAATCCCAGAGTCCAGTCCCAGAAAATGTATAGACCTTATCTATCAAAAAAGTTTAAAATATTTACTAGGCAAAAATTGTTTAGTAAGGTTTATTAATTATTAGAGACGAGCCGAGTACTCGGTTAATACTCGGTACTCGGCGTACTCGGCGGGTGTTTTAATACTTGTACTCGGCCGAATAACTCGGTTTTAATGCCGAGTATACTCGGTTTAAGTAAAGCAATATATTTTGGTACATCGATATAATTAAACAACAGTGTTAATCAAAAAGTATTTATTATTAATTTGGGAAATCTTTGACAATCACAATAATAATAAGTAAATAGTAATGAGTAAATAGTAATAATAATAAGTAAATAGAATGATAAAGTAGTATTGAGACAAAATTAGGAAAAGGTTAATTAAAAAAAAATCAATATTTAAAATTTAATAAAGGTAAATTATGATGCAGAAACACAAGGATCTCTGCACGTTCTGGAGACAGCCTATTCATTTTTTCTTCGTAGACGTTACCAGCCTCCGCAAATAATCGCCGCTATACACGGTGCTTGCAGGTGCACATAGAAACTCTTGTGCTAAACGTGCCAACTCTAAATACCTTGTTTGGTGCCCTGCTCACCTCTTGAAATGAATGTCTTTTGCCAACAAATTTTCTTCTAAATAGCGATATAATTCTAAAGCAATGGGGCTTTTATGATCATCGCACTCTATTGTTTGTACTTGTTTACGAACCGAGTTACTCGGCCGAGTACTCGGCTGTCAAAAAATTGAACCGAGTAAAACTCGGTACTCGTTACTCGGCAAAAGTGGTACTCAGAGCATCTCTATTAATTATTATACTACTAAAGAGTACTAGATTGATAATAACCCCTAGGAATGAGTTAGTCACTACCATGCTGTTAATATTTTAATAACATTGTATGAAATATTATACTGTAATTTTTTTATAGGAGAAAAAGAACATACGGCTAGTAAATGGTTACCGCCGCCCATGAACAACCGCAACACCAGAGGAATTGCAGATGCGTTGCCGTGGGAGTAGACTCTATTCATCAAGGTCCCTAAGTCGTATCGATCCGGAAAAATCTCTGGTGGTATTCGATTACACAAGGAAGTTATGCGAGGAAGAATACTTCTTTTAAGATGCTGTGGGCGCCAAAAGCAGATTTTTCACGCTTTATAGGTGCGAAGAAAAGCAATTTTGTCATTAAAAACTACGAATCCACACTTTTTTTAAATTCATTATGAAAGTTAAAGATTTTTCTTAGTGAATTATGTTGGCCATAACACGATTGACACATTTTGGCTCGATAGAAAAAGATCGCATAGTTTCCTCAAAATCTATAATTTTAGGTACGTCCACTAAGTGAAAAAGCTATGTGTTCACAAGTAAATACGTAAGTGAATTATGGGTTTATTTTTCAATGAAAGAGTATATATAATTTTAAAAAGAAATATCAATACATATTGTGCGAATAAATAGCGCGCGGGCCGACCAAACTGTCCATATAAAGCGTGAAATTTTGCTTTTGGCGCCCACTTCACCTTAAATCGCACAGTGGTGGACCACCAGTCATCCAGGTAGTATGGATGATATCGCAAGTTTTGTTGCGATATGCGGTGGTGGAATTTTGCGGCTGGAATTAGTCCGAACAATTCCTCAAAGCACTCTCCGTGGTAAATGCGATAAAATACGCAAAGAAATGCAATATAAGAGATATTGCATTTATATATCTCTTCGCAGTGCGATTCAGTCAAGCCGATCGGAAAGAGCTCGGTCGCCCACGATTCGAATAGCTCTGCGCTGCATGTGATCAAGTGGAGAGAACTGGCAAGCCCCAGCCCAGAGATGGGAACAGTATTCCATATGCGGCCGAACCTGCACCTTGTAAAGTTGCAGGCGGTGTGCCGGCATGAAATACTGTACCGCTCTGCTGAGCACGCCAAGCTTTTAAGAGGCCAATTCGGCCTACCACAAAACTGTACGTCATCGATTTGTCGACGCCGAGGATTTTGATACTGGCTGAGGCAATAAGGGGAGTACCTTGAAGCTGTTTTCTGGGGATTGAACTGGACTAGATTTAATCACCCCCAGTACGAGACTTTGTTCAACAAAGTTTCGACTTCAGACACAAGTTTGTCCTGGTACTCGGCGAAGTTTTCCCGAGAAATATTGGCACAGCCAGTGTATAAAGCATCACCAGAGCTGTCGTCCGCATAGCAATGAATTTTACCGGTTTGCAACATGTCATTGATATGCAGAAGAAACAGCGTTGGTGATAGCACGCAGCTTTGTGGGACACCAGCGTTAATAGGCTTGTAATTGGAGCACGCACTATCTACTCGACCTTGATGCTCCGATCTGCAAGAAAACTGGTGATCCAATTGCATAATATCTCGGGAAGCCTATAGGAAGGAAACGTCGTAAGAAGCACTTTGTGCCAAACCAGATCGAAGGCCTTCGCTATGTCCAAACTAACGGCCAACGCCTCCCCATTGGACCTCTACTGTCACCGCCCATTTATGAGTTAAGTAACCCAGAAGATCACCAGCCCAGCGACCGCGACGGCAACCGTATTAGCGTTCACTAATCAGCTGGTTATCTTCAAGGTACCGCTTGAGCTGGCTGTTAATAATGGACTCCATCACTTAAGAGAAGAAGGAAGTGATGGCGATAGGCCTATAGTTGGACGGATCAGAGCGGTTATCTTTTATAGGGATCGGGTGCACGAAAGTAAATTGTATATTGTAACAATAGTAGTATTAAATTGTGCACTTTTTTTAAGTCCCGCTAGGTTTCTTGCTGATTCTTCCCAGGACAGAGGTTTTTTTTAACAATCCAGTGGTAAAAGTAAAAATTGACTTTCAATAAATATTAATTGTGCGTGGTTGAGCCATGCTGCAGTTATATTAGTAATAGCACGAATAATTCGGCTCGACCGGGGAAGGACCACGCTCTCACAGAATTCCAGCGTAAAATAGCAGACAAGTGCTATTGTGTTTCGTATGGTTGAGTGTAGAGAACCGGAGACCCTTTTTACTGGAAACGAGGCATTTCATCTTAGTCCTCACAGGTGACAACGTATCTGCGTTTTGATTCATAATCGAGGATAGATGTAAATGTCTATGGGCCACAGCAACTATTGTCGTATTTACGTTTGTCGTCCTGTCCTATATTAAAAAAAATATAATCTATATTTAATAAAAAATTATTCTATTCTATTCTGAAATATAAATTTGTATTAATATTGTGTGTTGCCGTTAATAAATATATAGATAATAAGTAAATAAATCTAAAGATAAAAACAAAATTGAAGTGTATGTCTGAATTTTGAAATACCTGGCTTCTGTCAGGATCAGGGGGTTACGAGCAAGCTATTAAGAGATAAATAACCAATTTTTAAATGTTTGTCTCTCTTTCTGTTTGTTTGTCCGGGTTAATCTATTGGCAATAAGAAAACTGATAAAATAAATGAACATTTGATGTACACAAATCTAAATAATGCCACATTATTAGATCCTAAATAAAACCTATTTAGGGGCGGATTCCCGGGTTTACCTGGACAGGATCGTTTGTTAAGAGATAAAATAAATTGGGCAATAAATCTTCCATCTAATTTACTTTATAATTAAATTAAAATAAGTTTTATTTACTTATGTTAAAATCGTTAGACCCTAAACTAGAATTGTCTTCTCCTGTATCATGGAGTCATTATATACATTTATAAATTACACATGAAAACGCATCTATTTCTATACATATGTAATATATACCTAACATATTGAGTAATGTATGCCATGTGGCACATTTATCGAAATGTATTTTATGACATTGAAGTGACTAACGAACTCCAGTCCACCTGATCGAAGGTTATTGCTGCTGCCCATGAACACGTGTAACCAACTTCCAAAAAAGAAATTGCATACAGGTGCGTTGTCAAAGATGGAATACTTCACAACCTGTAATTATACAGGTTATCCATTCCCTTCCTATCCATACAAAAGTTATAGTAGGTCAAAGATGATTGTCTCATTCAACTACAAAAGAAACTGAATAACTGAATTACCGACATAGTCTAACGGAGCTAATAAGTTGATGGGCTAGCCTTGTAGCTCAAAGAACTGACAGCGGATGATGAAGGATG